ACGGGCCCTCCGCAGGAAGCCACAGAATCCAACGAGGGGTGGGCGCCGTGGGGAGGGGTCGCATCCCCCAACGGCTGCGTCGCAATGTCCAGTAGTGTGGAAGCGGGGGCACCGCGGTCCGAGGAGGGCGCGGGTGGGGTGGGGCCCTCAGAGGACGCGAAATCGAGAGCCGCCTCGGCGGTGGTGGAGACCTTCGCGACGAGCCCTCGGAGCAGCCCTGTGAGGCGCAAGAGGTTCGGCAGGGCGGAGAGGCTGCGGCGACTGCTGGGGACGTGGGAATTGCACAGCGGGCAGCGTGGTCGCGCCTCGAGGCATTGGGTGGCGCATCTTAGGCAGAAGACGTGACCACAAGGTAAGGCAACAGGGTCAGTCAGCAGGTAAGTACAGATAGGGCAATCACAGGAGGAATGAACGATCTTGGCGATGCTCAGGAGAACACCCTCCATCGGGTGAAATAACCCGGGAAAGGAAATCGGGAGCACGAATACAACTACAGGTAGTAACGAGCAAAGCCAGATTTTTATGTGTATGTCTATACCTCCTTAGTTGATACAATGACTTTTTGATATGACGTGGAGGTGCGTACCAACGTCCCATGCTTTTGCTAATGACTATTTATGTTCTCTTGTGCTTTCTATATCTATATTAATATATATGCATTTATATGAGAATTCAGAGGAGGCCTATGTTGTGTATAAAACCAACTCACCTCCGCCTTGCTTAGAACAGAGTAACCAACACTGTGAGAATCGATTTGAGGATAAAGATTGCACTCGCCTCTCGCGACTTATCTTTGCTTATTTGACTCCATATCCATAAACGATACCATATAGTAGCAAAAGAAAAAAATGAAACAAAGAGGGGAAGAGCATACATAACAAATGCATTACACTTTGAGCTATATATTACTCCAGACAGAAGGACAAAAACCGCCATATAATGCACTTCTGCTGGAACGGCAAGGGCATCTCGTCACCGTGAATCACTTAGGCAACCTCCTCTGCATTCAAGAATACAAGCATGTTTTTTGGCGTCTGGCGACCAGGGAGGTAACTCAAAGCTAAAAGCACAGAATAAAATTTCATGAAATATGTAAAATAAATCATGAGGAAAAAAGGTATCATCAAGAAATGCTCTCTTTTGCTGAAAAAAAGGACGGGGGACAAGCTTAATGAAGTCACACACCTCCGATATGTGAATTGCTTTTCTTACCAACTATGTGGGATTCAAAGTTCATGTGCAGCAACCACACACAGTGAAGTCAAAGATGAACACGGCAAGTGATACCTTCTCGCATTGGTGGTGATTAAATTGGACTCCACAAAAAAGACAATTTGCGCTCCTCAGCATTTCCTGTCCCGTTCCTTTTATCTCTTGTTCAGCCAAACGGGCCGCCTTAGCCATAGCACACACACACCTCTATTATCTGTAACGAACGGGAGCGCAGTGTGCAGCTGGTGATAATTTGACAAGAACAAGCACTTTTATGTTTTATTCCATCTTCTCCTACCTATGGGAGTGCCGCTGGATAGAACGGAAAGGAAGACTAAGACTATGCTTAGAAAAAAAAAGGAGGGTAATGGACCCTACAAAACATTACTCAACACGGGAAGAAGCCTAAAAAAAAAGAAAGAAATGATATAAAAATCCAATGAGTTCAAAGAACGCGTTACAGAATGTTTTCCTTTTTTATAGGCCACAGGATTAGGAGCCTTTGTTTAGGTACAATATGCGACTATAATCACGTAGACCACCACCACCACCATCTCTCCCTTCATTCGAGGAGGAGGGAATAGTACTCCCCATTGTAGAGTTCACCCAGCTTCCATTTATTTCTTTATCGCTGTCTCCGTCTTGGCCGCCGTCTTTCGCTTTTGGCGCTCCAAGCGATTTTTACGTCGTTCCTGCTCAATTGCCTTCTTTGCCGCTGTGGCTGCCTCTACGAAGGCTCGCCGCAGAGCAGACTGTGGCGAGGACTCTGAGCGAGCCTTCTTCCGGCTCGGACCTCCCTCGCCGTGGCACTCCGCAGACTTATCCCTTATGGCAGCTATGGCGCCATCGCCTATGAAGCGGATCATGAATAAACTACTACTCCGAATTAAGGTGGTACCCACATACCGCGGGCGCGTCGCCGAATCCGCCCGCTCCTCCCCTACCTCCACACCGAGCACCGAAAGCGGCACGTCGTGGTTCATCATCCCAAACATCAGCTTCTGCTGCTGCCGCCAGTGTTCGCGGCGGAGGGCGCGCTGCACATCGCACGCGCGCTCGCGCCGCACCATCGCCTCGCGCAAGGTGATGTTGTAGTGCGCGTCGATCTCCACCAACTTCCCGGCATACACGTAACCCTGCGTGGTTTCGACCTCGACCTCGATAAAGGGACGCGTGCTCGCACCGGTCGTTTCACCTTCCTCGAGAGGCCTCGCCTCAACGCCACCCGACGGGGGATATCCGAGAGCGTGTTGAATTGCACCAACGGGCACCCCGACCTTCACCCCTCGCCCGCCGCCGTCTTCACGGATCCGGTTAGAGCTCCCCACACGGCGCGACGATGTCGGGGCGTTGTCATCTTTCCTTCGCTGCATCATCGAGTTTGGGGTCTGCTACGCCACTTGATAGGGTTGGGGAACCGAACTCGAACAACGTCTCCTAAGGAAAAAATTATCCGTCCTCGTCGAGAGAAGAAAAGAGAGGAGAAAAGGGTAGTGGCAAAAGGAGGGAAGGCGGGACCAGCGGAATAGTGTGCGCTGAGCTTGCTCGTTTACGCTCTTTTAGCCGGCGTCTAGATGTGAATATTTTGATTAGTTAATGATATTGCTGATGATCACCCTCCGTGATTATTCGGTTCCCCATCAAAGTTCAGTAGAATAAATGCAAGAATGTTGAGTTGTTGTTTTTGAGGAAAAGTGTATTGTGAGGAGTAACACCCAGTTCTGGTTATTCTCTTAAGCGGGTAGTTTAGGGAGACCTGAGCAAGAAAAAAAAACAGAAAAGATTTAGAAGTCAATGAGTCACAGTGGAGATTAGAAAAAGAAGTGGAAAAGGGAAAGAAGGGCATAAAAGAAGTACTCTGTATATATTGGAAGGATCTAAACCAAAGCAATAAAAAAAGGAAGGAAAAGAACGTGTATTCGATAGCAAACCATCTAATACGCACTATGATGCCAATAAACCCCATACTATTCATAAATAATATAGGTTCTAAGTAATGAATTTGTTCAACCCATAGAATCATATCCTCTTGTGGTTCGTCAAGATTCAGCAAAAAGCACACCTAAAGGGGAAAAATGATGCATATGAGAATAGAGACCCGATATCAACCGCCGATCATTTACGCGACTATGGTTAAACCGCTACAAAGGAGGTCGAATCGCCCTCCTCAACAAACTCATTCCTCTCCGGATCAAAATAGCAGTTGAGAACTGGATCATAGATCAAACGGGAAGGAGCAGACGAGTTGACAGTTTTTGTAGGTTCAGACACCGTCTTAATTACCGGTACGTTCGTTTCCTCCTCTGCTTCGCAGGGACGCGTCAACGTATCCCTTGTAGAGGGGCCAGCATCCGCTGCGTTGAGCGATGCTTTATAAAACGAATCCCCGGCTGACCTTTCCGTACTTGCCGAGGTGGTGTCGACAGTACTACCGTACCGCACCCGTGCGAGGGCTGAAAGTGGCATGTCGGACCTCGACAAAAAGAAAAACCCATTCGCCACAGAGCTATTGTTGACATAGTTCGAACTGAGCTCCAGGCTCGCATCGGGCAACGCTGGGGACACGTAGGACGATGCCGCGTTAGTCGTGAAAGAGTTCACCTCAGGAGTCTCAGGGGCATGCTGCTGAGCTATAGAAGGCGGGGAGGATTCGTTTGGAGGGCTTGCCGAAGGTAGCGGGTGCGGCGATGGAAGTTTTGGTTGTTGCTTTTTATTCGCGTCACCCGGGGAGGAACACCAGGTATTGGAGGCGACGAAGCCCAGCGGTGTGGTCGGCGGGAGCCCCAAAGGGGCTCGCACGGGGCAGCCGCCCGTCCCCGCAGCGCCTAGGCGGCCCGGATGAAACGAAGGGGAGGCCCGCGGCGGTGTAATCGGCGCGTCCTCCGGTGTGAGCGGCCGCGCCGATTGCTCCTGGAGGGTCCTAGCTGACCCCTGCGCGGGCGTCTCCTTCGCCGCCGAAGGAACGTTCGCTGGATCGTCTACTCGGGGGATCCCCTCGCCACGGGGTGGGATTGAAAAGCTCACGTCATCGACGCGGACGGTGGAGACCTCGCTGAGGTTCTGCCTGTGCGGACGCGGCGAGGGGACCCGTCCGCTGGGCTCTGGACGGGATGCGAAGGGCTGGCAGCGCCCCCCACTCCCGTCGCTGTTGCCTCCGAGGTCGGTCGAGTGAAACGTCCAGCTCGTGCGCAGGGAGCGGGCGAGGCCTTGCCGCGCCGACGCGACCCATCGACCCTCACCTTTCCCGTTTTCGTAACTTTCCGTCATGGCATTCACGCGGGCGGGGCAGTGGGGCTCATCCTCCGATGTGAGTTTCCGGTCGGGAGGGTGAAAGCAACCTCGAGGGGATAAAAGGCGTTCCCGACGAGTGCTTGCCTTCTCCGATGCGATGATAACCGCCGCGACGCCGGCGGCTGGGGGCGGTGGATCCTCCACGGAGACGTCGGCAGGTGGGGTGGAGGGGGCAGTATGGCGTCGCGTCAATCGAGGTCGTGTGGGGGAACTATCATAGAGACCGCGGGGATGGTCGTCTCGCGCACCACGACGTCGCCGAGCGGGGCGGGGTGGATCGGTGAAGCGAGGCAACTCCAGCGGCTCCTCGCTCGAGCACCACTGCGCTAGGTGAGCGAGCTCCTCGGTGCTCAGTTTATTTTCAGCCTCTCCCCCCTTCTTCGCGGACGCGGGAGAATTTAGAGGGCCTTTTTCGGTTATCACACCCGCCTGTGATGGGGCGTTGGTTGCCGGGATCGCAGTTGGTGGTGGATCGGGCATAGTCGGCCTCCATTGCCTCATAACTTCTGCCGACGCATCGGCCGATCTCGCCCGGCGTTGTTGCTGCTTCTTTTCCTCCATCCTCTCGGCTACGGCGACAGCGGCGGTGGAATGGCGCGCGCGTGGCCGCCGATCGAAAGGCAACCCCCTCGCGGTCAGCGCGGGGCGCGTCTCGGCTTCACACAGCACCGTTCGAATTTGCTGCAGTCGTTCCGACATTAACAAGATCATCCGCTCCACGGCCGCATCCGATGCCGTAGGGTCTTTTACTAGGGAAGTGCTAGAGCCGTTGGTGCGGCCAGCCACTGCTGACGCGGCGGATGTAGCGGTCGAAACGGCAGCCTGCCGATTTGGTGGAGATGACGGGATGGCAACGTCCTTTCCAGTGTGAGATGCCGCATGGAATCCGCTATCAAACGGACGGCTCTCCGGTACATCGCCATGAGGAATGGCAGGGGTCCATTCATGGGGATTCCGCACCACATATACTTCATTTGAGAAGGAAGAAGACGACGACGCAGCGGCTGACCATGATGAAGACGACGGGGGGCTTACCGAGGGCCGAGAAGGCGGCTCCGCGGGCGGCCTCTTGCCTCTGTGCAGGAAAGCCTCCTCCTCGTCTTCGGCGCTGAGGCGGCCAGAGGATACGGTGATAGCAGAGATATCAAACGTAGACGTGTACTGCTGCGCCGCGGACGAGGAGGCCCGTCGGGACTTAAGGGCTACGGGAAGGCTTTGACGGAGGTTCGCGCGCAGCATTTCCGCCGTATTGCGGAGATTGTCGCGTCGACTTCCCTGGGCGGGCTGACTTAACGGTCGATGTGAGGGGGTAGCGGTGTTAGCCTCCGTTAGGTTTGGTCGTGAAGACGTTAATGTCTTCCGTGCGGTGTTGGGCGCCGTCGGGCCGTGGGGTGCCCCTCCCCTCAGACTTAGCTTTGGTTGGTGATGCCGCGTCGTGGCTGGCGTCGCAGGAGCTACCCCCACATCCGGCGCGTTCGACGACCATCTCTCAATCGTCGCCGACCTCCCCTCCGCATTAGACTCGAGATGGGGGTCTAGATCACAACCCAACCCAACATCCTGTGGAGGAGATGTGAGAACCTCCTCAAGGCCTGTGCGCATTACAAGCACTAAAAAAGGTACGTTTGGCGGTAGCATAAACGGTCCCGGAAGCGTTGTCGTCAGCGCCGAAGTCGTGCCATCCGAGAACAGATGGCTCACCGCCCTGGATACGTCCGAGTAACTCTCCAGATCGGTGGAACCCAGGGCTGGAAGCTCGCTAAGCGCTAATATCCGCCGCACATATACTCCACCCCCCATTACACCCTGGCTAGTGCAGGAACTAAAGCAAGTCAACTTGATCCGGGTGATTCGGTACTTCCCCCTAGGCCCCCTGGAATTATAGAAATACCGCTCATAAAGAGCAGATACATCCACGAACAGATTAATCCAGCAATGTGGTGGCCACGCAGCGACACCGTTCACACGCTTCGCCTCCCTGCCGTGCTGACTACATCCATCCGTTTGCTGCCATCCCCCACCAAACAGGGGTATTTTCACGTGCTGGGCATGCTCCTGAACGTTCCGGACCGTTCCCGTCAGTAGGATGCGGCGCTGACCGACGCCATCTTTAATCGTCAGCTCCAGACTCACCAAGGGTCCGGAGGACGTCGACGAGGACGACGCACGGGCCCCTGCAACGCCCGCCCGAGGCAGGGCCGTTGAGGCCCCAACAGCCTCCCGCGAGGGGGATCTCGGATGGAGAGAAGACGACGGTCGAACCGCCTCCGTCGCCGAAGGGGGCTCCACGAACATCTGAACCGCCACGACGCGCTGAGGGGCCGAGGAGGTGAGAACCCTCCCCCGCGCATGCCCCGTCGTCGTCGCCGTGGAGGAAGAGGAGGAGGGGCCGAGGAACGCGACGCTATGCCCGGCTGGGATGAAGAGGAGCTGGGAGTGGGTGGGGGCGTCGTAGCTGCGACGGACGCCATTCGGCAGGCGTGAGAGGGCGCCAGACGACGGCGCCCCCCCCCCTCCCCCTCGTGGAGCGGTGAGGGACTCAATAAAAAGCCCTTCGAGTGGGCGAGGTCCCTGAGGGCTGTAGAGCACCAACGGAGGGGCCGCCGGGCGGGCGGCTCGGCTGGTGAGCCTAGGGCTTTCCCTCGTTGATGGGCCGTGAGGGGGGCTACCGTCTGTCGCCTTTTCCCGGCGTGAGCTCCAGCTGCCGTTGCTCGGATGGGGTTGGGTACCTTTGGGAAGCACTGAGGGAGGGACGGGATTGGGTCCAGCATGGGACCCTGTATGTTTGAAGCGTGGCTTGACAGAATAGTAGTAGGCTAGGTTGCTCATCAAACTAAGAGATGAGATGTTACCAAGAAATGATACTTTGATAAATCTATATATATATATAGATAGATAGATAGATATAAATATGGATATGGATATATGCCTATATATAAGATCAAAACCAAAAGCCGGAAGTGCTGTGCTAAGATTATCAACCAAATATTGATGGAGACTCCCTACAAGTCTATGTGTTTCCCGCAAAGCACCTTCTGGGTGCAATTGCTTGATTTCAGGACAAGAAGAAAGCAGTGGAGGGAACGCCTCTATAAAAAAAAATAAACACTTCTCTCAATGAAACAGTCTTAATGAACAAAAACAAAATAAGGGGGTGGAAAAAAACTAAAGTGAAAATAAATGTCACACATAAAAACGATTAAACTAATTTGATTCGTTTATTTTTTCATATTATAATGCTGTCGTGACCATTTTGATAGATTGTAATCATTTTACTCGAAAGAATAAGCCTTAAATTCTTGATTATGCAAAAATACAAGATGGTGATCAATAGCATATAAAAATCTGCGGTGTATACGTAGCACCACGAAGGAATGC